CAGGATGTGGAGCCAACATTTTGAACCCAGAAGTGGAATGGTGTGTTGAGTGTGCGCGTCAGAGCTTCGCTATATGGACTACTATCTCTGGATAGTTATCTCAGAGAGAATAAAAGTCAATCTTGTGTCAGCCATTACATTTTGGGTCTTTTTGTTGCAGAAACTTAACTCTAACCTAAAAAATACATGGATGGCTTCCTGTTGGGGAATAAGCAATAGCCTAACATAGTAAACAGGGGATTTTTACACATCATACTAAATAGTGAATGGATTCTCCTCCCTTCCAACTTATTTTAAAGAGGACAAGAGAAGAGTAGAAGGGCCTGAGTTTAATCCTCTTCTGACATAATAAACTGAGTGGGACCTACTGAGGACAATTAATGATGCAGTGAAGCCACAAATAGGATGAGTAAAATCTGCCCCTTGAACAGAGTGAATGTGGTGTTTCCCAATTTCCACCTACTGTGCACTAAGGATATGAGCCTTCATTCCTAACAGACTTGTTGGATTGGAGCCTTCCAATATTTAAATTGAATTCTCAGGATCTGTTGAGGTCTGATGAGAGAGACAGTTATCTGGCAATACTTATAGAATCCTTTTGTGACAAAAATCAATTTAAGGTAGTATTCATAAGTTAAGACATTGACATGGAAATAATTTATCCTAATACAGCCCTTAAAATTTGTACATCTTGAAATTTGGCTATTTTGTACAAAATGATAAAAGATCTGATTCAACACCAACAAATGTGTAATGCTCAGGTATATACACCAGAGGGCACTCATCCACTATTTTCTGTTTGAACAAATCTACAGTAATGGTTTTCAAACCAGTGCATAGAAGAATCACCTTGGGATCTTGTTTAAAATGTATACCTTTGGGCTGTGGAGGGGCCCATGAATCTTTTTTAATGAGAGACTATATGGGAGCATGGTAAAGAGGATGGCTTGTGGAGCCTGACTGTCAGGATTTGAACCCTACCTTTGCAGCTTGTGAAAGTGAACAATTATTTAACCTCTGTGCTGTTTCTCATCCATCAGATGAAGTTAGAAATAGCACTTACCTAAAATAAAAAAATAATAAAAAAAAATGGAAGAAAGAAAGAAAGAGAAAGGAAGGAAGGAATAGCACTTACCTTTTAGGGTTGTTATAATGAATGATTAAATGAGTTAAATTAGAACATACAACCTAGTGCCTGGCAATAAATATTCACTCTATTATTACAAGCATTAGTGGGTTTTTTTTTTTACTTTTTTTTTATTATGTTCAGTTAGCCAACATATAGTACATCATTAGTTTTTGATGTAGTGTTCAGCAATTTAATAGTTTTGTATAACACCCAGTGCTCATCACAACACGTGCCCTCCTTGATACCCATCACCTGGTTACCCCATCCCCCTACCCCTCTCCCCTCTGAAACCCTCAGTTTGTTTCCCAGAGTCCATAGTGTCTCATGGTTCGTCTCCCTCTCTGATTTCTTCCCCTTCAGTTTTCTCTCCCTTCCCTTATGGTCCTCCTTGCTATTCCTTATGTTCCACATGTGAGTGAAACCATATGATAATTGTCTTTCTCTGCTTGACTTATTACACTTAACATAATCCCCTCCAGTTCCATCCATGCCGATGCAAATGGTGGGTACCCACCCTTTCTCATCTGTTGAAGGACATTTTGGCTCCTTCCACAGTTTGGCTATTGTAGACATCGCTGCTATGAACATTGGGGTGCATGTGCCCCTTTTTTCACTACGTCTGTATCTTTGGGGTAAATACCTAGTAGTGCAATTGCTGGGTCTTAAGGTAGCTCTATTTTTAACTTTTACAAGCATTATTTTTTTTTTTAAGATTTTATTTATTTGACAGAGAAAGAGACAGTGAGAGAGGGAACACAAGCAGGGGGAGTGTGAGAGGGAGAAGCAGGTTCCCCGCCGAGCAGGGAGCCCGATGCGGGGCTCAATCCCAGGACCCTGGGATCATGACCTAAGCTGAAGGCAGACACTTAATGACTGAGCCATCCAGGCGCCCCTACAAGCATTATTTTTATTTTTATTTTTATTTTTATTTATTTTTTTTTAAAGATTTTATTTATTTATTTGAGAGAGAGAGTGAGAGAGAGAAAGAGCACAAGAGGGGGGAGCGGGAGAGGGAGACGCAGACTCCCTGCCAAGCAGGGAGCCCAATGCGGGACTCCATCCCGGGACTCCAGGATCATGACCTGAGCCGAAGGCAGTGGCTTAACCAACTGAGCCACCCAGGCACCCTACAAGCATTATTTTTAATAAAGACATTCATTGATTTTGTTGTGGGAAGATTTGAGGAACACATGACCACTCTTAAAAGAAAAATACATATTCTCTTGATACTCTGCAGCCAGGCAAAGACTTCAGGTCCTGACCCTCTGCTGAGCAGTAATGGAATGGCAAGAACCAAAGGTGCAAGATGAATGGAGCAAAATAAGGCTGGTCTTTGCATGTTCTCTAAAGAACTTGTACTCTATTCAGAAGTCAGTGGAAATCCTTTGAAGGCACTGAGGCTGAAGGTGGCAGGATTAGATTTACATTTGAGATAGATCTGCTCTGCAAGCAGAGTGGGGGATGGAATGTGAGGGGTGAGGCTGGAAGCAGATGGGTAGAGGAGCTCAGGCAGTTAGTTGTAAGGTTGTAACGCGGCTCCTTTTCATCCTAAGGAAGAGTCTCCAGAAAGCATTAGGATTATTCACATTAGTGACTCTAATAATAACAATTTGAACCTTATAAATCCTTTCTTCTTAGGAGCTCTAAATAGAGTCAAGTTTGTAATAAAACAGTCTCTCTCCACTCCACCCTATGATTTACATACACCATACAGTGTATACAGTACCCAGTGGGCATGCTCCCTAGGTTTTAAGCCAGCAGATCCTGCAAATAGGATTCATGTGAGCTAAGCAGTCACCAAGGAAAAACTGGACTGCTCTCCATGGCACCAGAAGCTGAGAAGGGAGATAGTTCTGCATCTGACTTGGTGATCCTGTAGGTGGTGGGGTAGATTTCCAGGAACCATGGCAACTCTGAAGTGACTGACAGTAGAGAAATAAACTTCTGCTCTATCACCACCCAGCCAGAATGGGAGGGGCTGCCAGGGGAGCAGGAGAGGGGAGGGAGGATGGGAGAGCTGAGGTCACAGTCTCCCCCTTTGACTCTGCCTGGAATTCACCAACACTGTTCAGCTACTGTCAAATTAACAGGGTCAACAGTGCCAGGTAAAATAGCTACCGGAGTCTTTTCTTTAATACCTGAGGAGTGGCTGGATGATTTCATGAGAAAGGAATTTATCCCTGGGGATGGCTCTGCAATATCAGTTCCTGCTTGTGCACTCAGCCAAGCTTTTTTTCTAGTCTCTAAGTCTCTCAGAAACATATCTGATTCTAAGTCTCTGAAAACATGCAAAATGTAAATAGATAAAACAGCTCTTCCCTCTGTTAGAGTTGTTAAGATTGAAGAATCATAAGGTATTACCCTAGACTGCTTGAGGTAGAACCTAATCCAATGGTTTTCAAATTTGTTTTAGTATCAGATCCCTTGAAATGAAATCCTATGAAAAAGTTCAATTAATATGTGGACAGAAAGCAGAGCTGCTTCTATTGAAAGAGGTTTCTGCTTGGCAATGCCTCCCACATCCTATCATGTGACTTAATTCTTTGAACCCCTAGGACCTAGAGAAGCAGAGGTAATGATTAAACCAATTCTTCCATTTTACAGAGGACAAAAATGAGTCCCAGAAAGGTACTAATTATCTGAGTGGAGTGCAAAGGCAATGGGGGGATGCACCGAAAGAAAACTGAGGGTACTATACAAATTCATGGTAGAGAATGAAGTTGGGTTAATGGTTTCTTTGGAGTTAGATCAGTGAGTCAAGAAGAAGGACAAATTAGGGGCGTCTGGGTGGCTCAGTTGGTTAAGCCACTGCCTTCGGCTCAGGTCATGATCCTGGAGTCCCGGGATCGAGTCCCGCATCGGGCTCCCTGCTCAGCAGGGAGCCTGCTTCGCCCTCTGACCCTCCCCCCTCTCATGCTCTCTCTCTCTATCTCATTCTGTCTCTCAAAATAAATAAATAAAATCTTAAAAAAAAAAAAAAAAGAAAGACAAATTGGAATGTGTGAGGGGTGAGAGGAAGGATTAACTTAGATCCAGAGAAGGATTTCCAAGAAGGAGGGATACAAACTTTGGAACTTTGATGTCTCCTGCCTGGAATTTGTTTAATGTAGCAAAGCTGCTTCTCTGTCTAGAGAGAATCAAAGCAAGCTTTGAATGATAGGCCTGCATTGAAGTGGAGACCTTCAGCCCTCCCAAACATTGGTCATCATCATCATCCTTGGCATTATCATACATCCATTAAAGGTCATTACCAGTTAAACACAGAGGCGCATTTCCCGCCGGACACTGTGAAGGTCAGTAGTTTAGACAGAAAACAATATGGCAATTTCCTGATAATTCACGGGAGAAACATTACCCAGTTCCAACCTGTAGAGGCTACTTTTAGGCAACAGGCTTGAGCAATGGAAACCAGAGCAAGGCAAATGGGCCCACAGTGACTACTGAGTGGAATACAAACAGGGCTCACTAAGCGACCCACCTCAAAATAGTCATAGACCCTCACCGACTAACTACAACCAGGCACGGTTCTTAAGATTACAAAAAAGGGGGAAATTCCATACATCCCCATACTCCTTCACTCTGCACTATAACTGTGACCTCTCCCCACTGCCTTGTGGCAGACAGTCTCCCCTTTGCTGTCCTGCCCGCCACTTCCTTGCAGTGGTATATTCAATAAGCTTCTATCATTTTTGTTTGGCCTTGATGAATTCTTCCGCCGCCCCGGCCGCCGGCCCCCAGCCCCCACCCAATGGGATGCCCCGCATTTGGTAGCTCCCACCCAACTGGAGCACTCCACACAATCTTTCTTACCTTCTTTTCTATGTTCAAAATCAAACTCAAAATTTACCTGGTCCAGGGAATGTGTACCCACCTGATTCAGTTCATTATTGGGCTTAGCAACTTCTATTCTTAATTTACCTCACTGAACCTCTGTTCTTCACCTGTAAAGTACAGATAATAAGAAAGATTTCTCAGTGTTTTTATACGAATAAAAGGAAATAAGATATGTTAGCTATTTAGCACAGTGCCTGATAGTAATTATTTGAAAATGTTTTAGTTTCTTCTTTGGCATGGATCTCTGATAGACCAAATTAATAAAAATTTGAAAGAGGTTAAATTTTTTCTTTAGTATCTTTCCATCTTTTCTTTTAGAATCCACTCTAATTCTGGGTTCTCTCATTTTTTATTTCTTCTCATCTCCTCTGCCTTTCTTTTTATTCTGGAATAACTATGATAAACTTTCATTAATGTGGAAGTTAACTGATTTGTTAAGAATCAAAATGGAGAATGAATCAGACCCCAATATCCAGTACAGTAGTTTGCCTCTAGTTACAAAATTTTTAGAATTCTTTCCCTTGGACATTCACAGCAGAGATGTTTGTTTCTCATGACTGTTTCACCTCTAGATGGTTAAAAAACATCTTTTATCTGTAGATAGTAAATTCAATAGCATTGACCAAGGGTAAGTGTCTCTGCAGATCAGCATTTGGTCAATCCAGACCAGCTGAAATTAACCCATGTTATTCAAGTGGAAATGCTAGAACTGGAAAGTGCAATATCTGAAATGAAAAAATGCAATGAATGGGCTTAACAACTGATTGAAGATTTAAAAAAAAATTATTAACTTGAAGACAAATCAATAGAAATTAGCTATTGATAATTTAAATTCAATAGAAACTAAACAATGGAGGAAAAAAATGACTGAAATAAGGTTGAACAGAACTTCAGTGAGACTCAGTTTGTGAGACAATATCAAGAAGTTATATATCTTTGTAGTCAGAGGGAGAGAAGCGGGGAGGGAGAAGGGAAGAAATGGGCAGAAAAAATATTTGAGGAAATAATGGCCCAAATTTCCCAAATTTGGTCAAAAACGTCAGTTCACAAATATAAGAGGTTAACAAATATTAAGTAGGATAAATACAAAGCAAACCACACCTTGGAATATTATAGTCAAACTAATGAGCACCAAATAAAGAGAAAATCTCCAAAGACAAAGGGCATATTTCATACAAAAAGAAAAATATATGAAAAATGACTGACTTCTAATGGAGACCATAAGACAATAAAATTACATACTAAAGTTCCAAAAGAAAAAAATCTATCAACCCAGAAGTCTATATCCAATGAAAATCTTCCTCAAAAATGAGAGTAAAATAAAAACATTTTCAGGTAAGTAAAAGCTGGAAGAATTAATCACTATTAGACTATCAAAGACTATTTTTATTTCATAATATAAAAAAGAAACTAACTGCTTAAAGCAAAAATAACATTGAACTATGGGTTTTTAACATATGTATGTATAAAACATATGACAATGATAGCACAAAGGATGAGGGAATAAGTACATGGGATTCTGCTGTTGTAATGTTCTTAATTTTACATGAAGCACCACAATATTAACTCCAAGTAGATTGAGATGATTTAAGGATGAATAATGTAATCACTAGAATACCAGTTAAAAAAACAAAGAGGTACAGGCAACAATAGAGTAGAGAAATTAAGATAGAATACTAAACATTTTTTATTAATTCAAGAGAAGGGAACAAAGGGGGAACAGAGAAACAAAAAGATGAGAAAAATAGAAAACGAACTGCAAGATGGATGTACCTGTTCATCTTGAGGAGAAATGCTCCTTTTTGTGAACACCCTAATCATTCTCACAGAATTTTTTCACATTATACCTTGCATCATAGTTACTTGTTTATAATTTTCTCCCTCTTACTAGACAACAAGCTCTTTGAGGATGAGAACCATGGCCAAATGGAAGAAGAGATGAGAACCACGAGACCTTTAAGTTCACTGAAGATTCAGTTTAAGTGTCTTCCATGTGATTAGCTTGCTTCCGTGTGAATTAAAAAAAAATGAGTAGCAAAGGGTAGGTTTGAGCAATCTTTACACATACTTATCATATTTCAAATAAACTTTTTGCCCCACTGGCCAATTGGCGTAATCATTTCTACATGGTGCCAATTGATCAAGAGGTCACAAAAACTACCTCTAAACCAGAGGGTAAAGAAGTTTCTTGTTGATTAAGGCCAACTCCAACTAACTGGTGGTGTGGCCATATCACACTCAGCAGGGAGGAACGTCACAATTGCCTTAAAAGCTCATCAATTCTTATTCTTCCCATTGTCAGCCATGGGTACAGGTGGGCGAAGTAAGAGCATACCCGGTATACAGCATGATCCTGCTTTAGGGTGTCATAATATTCATGTTTACTGTGACTACAAGCCTGGATTTTCCAAAAGGATCTCATAAATACACTCTAAATTATCAGATAATGTGTTCAAATTTGAGGTTCAGAGTATATGATCGTCATATTTATGACAATATTATTCACATGAATTAACATGGAGTTTCCTAAAACACTCTCTAAAAGCTCATCAATTCTTATTCTTCCCATTGTCACTCGGCAAACGATGACATAAACTTGCTAATTTTGGTCCAAGAGCAAATGAACTCACTTCATTCTTACTATGGTTCTTACAAAGGCTCCCAGAACAGTAGTTTGCAAATAAACAAATAAATAAATAAACATAAATGTTTTTATATGTAAGCCTTGATGATCTAGGTACAGGTATACTGAATGCACTTTCAGCTTTTATTAGTGGACATTCTTTTTTAGTCCCTTAATTTTCACATCATATATGAAAAGACAAAAGACGTGAATTAGCCATTAACTACATACAATTTTTTGAAATGAATTGATTTTCCCTAAAGCTTACTAAAAGCAAAATCTAACCCTAAAGTCATAACCAAATGTTTTACAGTATGAGAAAATCAGAATACCCAGGAAATGAGCATTTATTCAAATACTCTTTTACTCAGTGTCTAGTCTCATTACATATTTTTAAATTCTACCACAGAAGCAATCAATAGCTCTATCAGTGTTCATCAGCAGACTTCTGGTCAGAATAGCATCAAGGAGTCATTTGGCTAACATTTCATAAGAAAAATTTACAGCAAATATCTCTCTTTGAAATCTAATTTCCTCTTGGGAGTCTATTCATGGGCATTTTCAAATGATACTTAAAATCTTATAAACAAATGATTCAATGTTAAAATATGAAATCATCCAAATCACCTTCCCTCCAAAAGTATAAAATGGATAGATAAAAATATGAAAAACAACTCATTTTCACCAACAGAAGAGAGATTATTGAATGCAGTGTGGATTTTACTTTTTTCTTTCTTTCTTGTTTAAAGATTTATTTATTCTAGAGAGAGAAAGCAGGGAGGGGCAGAAAGAGAGGGAGAAAGAGAATCCTCAAGCAGACTCCCCACTGAGCATCGAGCTCCATCCCAGGACCCTGAGGTCATGACCTGGGCTGAAACCAAGAGTCAGATGCTCAACTGACTGAGCCACCCGGGTGCCCCGCTTTTTTTTTCTTTTAACACCAACACCACAACTCTCACACGTTTTGAACTCTTTTTGCAGTGGAAGTCAATAGCACAGATTATAACTTGTGTTTTTTATATATAACCAACGTATTGAGATCTAATTCACATACTACACAATTCACTTATTTAAAGGTAAGTTTTTAGTATATTCACAGAGTTGTGCAATCATTGTAATAATCAATTTTAGAATGTTTTCATTATCCTAAAAAGAAACTCTGTACCCATTACAGTAACTCCTCATACTCCTCAACCCCCTCAGACCTAGACAACAACTAATCTGATTTCTGTTTCTAAAGATTTTCCTATTCTGGGGGCACCTGGGTGGCTCAGTTGTTAAGCGTCTGCCTTCGGCTCAGTTCATGATCTCAGGGTCCTGGGATCGAGCCCCGCATCGGGCTCCCTGCTCAGTGGGAAACCTGCTTCTCCCTCTCCCACTCCCCCTGCTTGTGTTCCCTCTCTCACTGTGTCTCTCCCTGTCAAATAAATAAAAAATCTTTAAAAGAAAAAAAAGATTTTCCTATTCTGACCATTTCATATAAATGGAATCATAAAATATGTGGTCCTTTGTGACTGGCTTTTTTCACTCAGCATATTTTCCAGATCACCCATGTTGTAGTATGTCTAGTACTTCATTGTTTTTTATTGGTGAATAATATTCCCTCATGTAGCTATACCACGTTTTATCTATTCATCCATCATTGATGACTACTTGTGTTGTTTCCACTGTTGGGCCATTATAAATAATGCTACTTTGAACATTCATGTATAAGTTTTTTTATGGACATAAATTTTTATTTCTCTTAGATATATGTCTAGGAGTAGAATTGCTGGCCTATGTGGTAACCCTATATTTAAACTTTTGAGGAACTGCCAGCCTGTTTTGCAAAGCCCACCAACAGTGTATAAGCATTTCAATTTCTTCACATCTTTGTGGACACTTTTTTATTATACATATCCTAATGGGGTGATGTAATACCTCATTGTATTGAACTCTTTTTTTCCTGTTTCTTACATACCTAATAGCATGAAATTAGTTTTAGACTTCTCTTATTTCCAATAAGACCTCACCTAGGTGACACATACTGTATGTGACCAATGAATTCTTCTTTAAAATTAGATTAACATTGATTAAATGTTCATTAAAACATCTAAGGATCTAACACACTTGCTAGGAACTGATTTAAAAACTAGTAGCCTACAATAGGGACCACAGTAAGTTGAAAGACAGCTGCAGTAGGATATGTATCTTAAAATCCACAATGAATTTTCAACTTCTGGCAATGGCAGACAGAATAATTTTGACCAGTAGCCCCCAGAAAATCTCGACAAACTTTTTTCCAAAAAAATCTACTTGTAGGTATTGGAGAGCTAACAAGTCAGTGAAGATCATTAGGGTCAAGAGTGAGGAAAGAAAGGAAAAGAATAAGGGTGGAATAATACAGATGAGCCTACCAATTTGGTCACTTTTGTCCTAAGGGTATATACCAACTATGGAAGAGATGAATAAAAAGTTGAGCAGAGTTTTTTAATACCCTCATCT